GGTAAATACCGGCTTGCATGTAAATGCAAATAGCACCACAATAAGTAAACTTCTTTATAAATTATAATTTTATCCTTGAAATTCCGCAAATCGCCCGTCATTCACAGTAATGATATTCATTAATCTAAAGCCTTCAAACTTTATTGAAAAAGCTTATATAGTGAAGACTTTAAAAATATTTTTATTTTATTGTTCCTCGTTGTATTTTCTATAATTGTAGAGAAAGTAGTTTTATACAACACAGTATTACGAGATAAAAATCCCTAGAGAGCGATGAAATCCAGCAAAAGTTTTATAGCAAATTTTCTTTTAGTAACTTTATTAGAGCTAGATGTAAGAAGCTCTACGTTTTTGCTTACTAATTAAAATATTGTATGAGTAATATAATAACGTTGAAATTATATTTGTTTTGGCTTCCCCGATTGCTAGAAATTATGACTTTATCTAACATTTTCTGCTTTAATTTCTTTTAGAATCAGCCTGTTTTTCTTCTCAGGATAGGTAGTGTGGGTAAAAATTAATCGGTTCTACAATTTTCCACCACTATCAAGATTGATCATCGAGATCTTAAAAGAATAACATTATAATTCAGTATAATATCGATTAAAAAATAAAAATTATCACAATTCATGATACATAGACATGGTCATTACATTTACCTACTGGAACTAACAACTGTAGTTTTTATACACTGTAACAGTTCTAATTACTTGATTGTACGTGGGTACTTTGATACTGTTAATGAAGACACTTATTTAAATGTCATTATTTGCAACGTCAATGTAAAATAAAAGAAGGTATTCAACTCAGTTAATCCCTCCACGACCGCGGACACGCCGGTGTTACAGTTAACAATAGATTTCTTAGAAATTTAATTAATTTCTTAGAAATTTACCTAGAGATGTTAAAAAAATAGCTAGAGCAGTTTATGCATATGCCTGAGTTGTGTGTCTGTTAGTCTCTTCGTCTGTTAAGTACAGCTTATTGTAGCAAATTGTATTTTTTTTTAAATCGTATAAAAAAATATATCTTTTTACTTTTAATAAACTGATTTGAAATGTACCTACATAAGAATTATTCTTACAATTAAGGGGTAAATTTTTCCTTAAAATTTAAACAGGATCATTGAGATATAAACTATACATTAAATAAATATGAAAATCGGTTCATAATTCGAAGAAATACACTTAAAACATGCGATCTTTATAGTTTGGCACGTTTGGATCAGTTTGTAGTGACTTGCTGTGCCAGCGGTTGCGGGTTCGAGTCTCGCTGGAGGCATTCATTTATGTAATGAGCACGAATGTTTGTACTCTAGTCATGGGTGTTTATATTTATAATATGTATGTAATTAAAGTTATATATGTGTAGTGTATCAACTATCTGGTGACCATAACACAAGCCTCGTAGCTTACCGTAGACCTAGTTGGTACTGTGCTAATGTCTCAACATATTTATTTATTATTTATCAATATGGTAGGTAAATAAATAATAAAATATAAGTCTACAATAATATATATTACGGCACAAATTCAGAATTGGGGACTTGGCCCCTAGCGGAGTGGGTGGTATTTCTGGATAAGGGACGTGATAGGGAGTCGAAATGTTAAATAAATTTTTTAATACAACAAAAGATTCAAAAGTTATTGAGACTTAAAGTTACAACATTTCCATACATTTTCATATATTTCTTTACCACCATTCGGAGTGGGTGGTATTTTTAGATAGGGGAGGTGACAGAGAGTCAAAATATATTAAAAATATTTGGAGGAAACGTACGACTAAAAAGTTATTGAGACTTAAAGTTATAACATATCTAACACATTTCCATACATTTCTTTACCTAAATAAGTGATTACAACAGATAAACATACCTTTAACGAATAGTACGCATCCTTTTTTATGTACATTACACATTTTCACAACAATTAATGCTTTATTGTATTTAATATTTTAATAATTTCACAACACAAACAAAATGATCTTACATTTTGACAAAAGCAAAACTGACACTTTGTTTTATATTACCGCTTAAATGACAACAGATTATATTTGATTATTTTTGCTTTTTCTGTTGGTAAAATATTAATATTAATAAATAAATAAATAAAAAGAAAAATATTATTTTCACTTTATAAATACATTTATAACTTTTTATTTGATTTATGTAAAATATATTGTTTTACAATTGTACATTTAGTAAAAAAAATCATTTTTTTATCTGTGAATATTTTTAATTATTTATTTATTATTCGTCATATCTGGGTTAGGTTAGGTTAGAACATTTAAGATTATTTATTTATTATTCCTCATATCTGGGTTAGGTTAGGTTAGAACATTTAAGATTATTTATTAATTATTCGTCATATCTTGGTTAGGTTAGGTTAGAACATTTAAGATTATTTATTTATTATTCCTCATATCTGGGTTAGGTTAGGTTAGAACATTTAAGATTATTTATTTATTATTCCTCATATCTGGGTTAGGTTAGGTTAGAACATTTAAGATTATTTATTAATTATTCGTCATATCTTGGTTAGGTTAGGTTAGAACAGTTGCCACAACGCACGAGCCGAGCGAGCGAAGCGAGCGTGCCGCGGTAGCGGCCGGCGAGTGCCATAAATGACTAGAAAACTAGAAAATTCGAATTTCACGCAAAGTACAAATAAAGACAATCATCTGGAGATCATTTTGACAATTGAAAGTGACGTTTTGACTCCAAGTGTCTAAATGGTAGTAATGTCAAAATAATGTATGGAAATGTTATAACTTTAAGTCTCAATAACTTTTGACTCTTTTGTTGTATTAAAAAATTTATTTAACATTTCGACTCCCTATCACGTCCCTTATCCAGAAATACCACCCACTCCGCTAGGGGCCAAGTCCCCAATTCTAAACGGCCGCCTATATTACAATATTATTTGTTTTGTGTAACTACTAGTATTAACAAAGTAATAAAATTTCAACAATTTACTTATTCTTAATCATTTTTAAGTCTGCTAATGGCATGTCGTCCATCTTGTAACAACATGGCGCAATGAAAAAATAGATAGATCACGTTTATTCTTACACTTCAATTAGCAATTATGTTATTGTCATGAGTAATATTATTTATAAACAATTGTGTTATTATTCCAACTAGAATAGGTAATTTAATAAAATATGTTATAAAAAAATGTAGAAGATAATATATAGAGCGTATAAATAATGTCCATACTGGTAAAACAATAATCGTTATTTTTCGACATACCTGAATTAATTTTAATTGCTTTGTTACCAGTCTTACCACCGCTTCACATGGGTGCAAGTTAAGGTATTTTCTGTGTTTATAATACTAGCGGCTCACCGTCGCTTCGCCTCTAGAAAAACAAAACCAAATCTATCCCACGGGAACCGTACATATTTCCGAGATAATAAGTAGCTTATGTGCTATTCCAGACTATAATCTATCTCTGTGCCAAATTTCAACCAAATCCATTCAGCCGTTCTGGCATGATTGAGTAACAAACATCCAAACATCCATCTAAACTTTCACATTTATAAAATTAGTAAGAAGCAAGATTATATACAACAGAGTTACATTTTGACAGGCATCCCTTGGACTTTTTATCCCGCAGGAAACAATTGATTTAAATATAAAAAGAAGCTTGTTACCCAATTACGTATACTTTATAAGAACAAAGAAACTTATACATACAGTGTAGGCCCTATTATGTACTAGAACTTCGACTGCACCTTTTGTACATGAAACCTTTAAAAATGTTATTTACACAACAAAATTATAATATCGATTTCTATATTATCAGTACGTAGAAGTCCTCGTAACGGGATCTTTAGCATTGCATATAAATATTATATAGGCATGCCTTTTTTCGCAATAAGAAATGCCAGAATGTACACGAATAAAAAAGGTTATGCGCTGCTATCCCGTTATACGTTGAGAATTAATAACGCTGGTACCAATTCATTGAATCTAAATTGTAAACAAATTCCGCGGTCCAAAGATCACATACGGCGTTGCAAAAATGATTAGCATATCGATAAAAAGTGTTTACTATAATATAATATATAATTATGCATACAATAGCTACTACTGTTTTCTTATTATGAGTATGTGTACACACAGATATAAATGTTTATGATTTTTTTGTTATAATTTTTTTTAGGTGGAGAAAAGTTAGGGCATGTAATAATAAGTGCATGCATCTCAAATAAAAAAAAACAACAAAACATAAAAATGCGCAAAAAAGACACGGACGTATGACTGTAGGTGTTAGACTTACTCAAATGCATACAATAGCTACTACTGTCTTCTTATTATGAGTATGTGTACACACAGATATAAATGGTTATGATTTTTTTGTTATATTTTTTTTTAAGTGGGGAAAAGTTAAGGCATGTAATAATAAGTGCATGCATCTTAAATAAAAAAAAACAACAAAACATAAAAATGCCCAAAAAAGGCACGGACGTATGACTGTAGGTGTTAGACTTACTCAAATAAAAAAAAACAATAAGTGCTAAAGACACGTTATTATAACTTATTCTGTCCATTGGTGAATGATATATTAAAATGAAGATAACTAGAATTTTATGTGATTTAAAAAAAATGTAACAGATACTGACGATAATACTTTTCAATCATTTTTTTATTCCGATTAAATTATATTTTTTTTATAAATAAGTTACATATTAATAAAACCATAATACACTTTTATTTTTAGAACGTTATCTGAAATAATATTATTTACGCAATATGTAACAAAATACCCGCAACTTACACTAACATAAACAATATATTTGTGTAAATACTCAAATCATCGACTGGTCATTCGCATCACTATCAAGTAACACCATACACGCGGTCCACAACACTCGCATCAAGTCAACGAGAGAGAACGTATCGTAAATAAATAAGAACCGAGACTCTTAAATTGTTTAATAACAAAATGCTCAGTGTAGTTTAAGTTTGTGCTGTGTAAATCGAACATTTTGTGAAAATGAAGAACGTTCTTGCTCGTCAATGCCTGTAAGTAAATAAATAAAAAAAAGAATCAACTCATATATATAAGAAGGTTTATTTTATGAAGGTATTTATTTATTTAGTTTTAATTTTAATTGGCTGAATATATTAAGACCATGTTGCGTTTAATTTTGACAACTTGAAACAACGGTTACTATAAAATAATATTACCTATCTGTTATATATTTTTTTTAATTGATTACGAATTAGGAAATTTTAAAAATTTCTACAAGTTTTGAATTTTAAAAATTGTAAATAAAAAAGTCATTTTCTTAGTGATAGTTACGGTGAAAAAACTGTTGGATTTTTTCGACACAATTTTGCAGTTAAATTATGAAAAAAGTACATTTAATTTTTTAGTATAATAAATAGTATAATAAATTTAATTTTTTTAGACATATTTAATACTTATTATTATTGACCTACTTCATTATATTAAATGTTTACAATCCGTTATTGGAACCTAATAATAATAAAGGAACTAAATTGACGTCGCAGGCGCACTCATTTTTTCGAACATGACCTTTAAAATTGGCAAGTTACGAATCTATTATAATTTATAATATCTTTACATCATACTTGTATCAACATTCAACTGCGTGCTTGCAAATATACTTACTTACATATAAATTTTTAATATCTAATTCGTCTACAAATTGTACATGTAAATTGAACGTGATATTTATAATCTCATACAATTACTAGCAAATACGACAAATTAGATGTACCTATTTAAAATTACATATTTTTTTGTATTTAAATTTTATGTTATTGGTATGAAAATTATTCAATTATAAAATTGGTTAATTTGTTAATTTTCCAGCAGTTTAAAATATTTTAATTTTATTATACTAAAAATAACATTTTACTTTCCAATTATTACCTTAATCAGATAAAAGTTATATTTTAATTAAATTATAAATGACTCGACTGAATAAATATCAACGTGAAACAATCAGAATATTTTACTCATATAACTTAATCTTTTTTAATTAAGCCCCCTGAGGGAGCTGTATCTGATGATGAATAATCAGCCTTTATTTTTTTACTTAAAATATATACTAACGCCTAGGTATTCACATAATACTTTCTTAGATTTACGCGAATATTTGACATTTTAAATAAAACAATAAATCAAAATAAATGCGCGAAATAATCCGAAAAGATAGATTTATTTAATAGGTAGGTATTTATGTTAATAAAGTATATAATTTTATTTAATACTTACAACAAAGTTACAACGCTAGGTGTTCCCTAAGAGATACATAATATGTATATAAATAAAAAATAAATAAAAAAACAGTACAACATATTCAATGAGCCTAAATATGATATCTCTGCAATATTTTAGTAAAGAGTTGCTCATCTTGCAGATTCCAGGTGATGCTGCAGCATCAGGCCTATGTTACCGTTCTATTGCAATGACATTAAAGTAATGGAATACCAAGTTTCGAATCGATTAGATCTGTGAAAATTGTTCATATTCTTTTACGGTCTAGAAAATAGCCGATATCCTGCAAATGGCTGAACGGATTTTCTTGATTTTTAGCTAAGAACACTCTCGATCAAGTCACCTTTAAAAGAAAAAAAAAAGAAAATCGATTTATCCATTTGGGCCCTACGATGTCATTAACAGATACACAGATAGACACACAGGTACCCCGTACCCAGGTTAAAGTTATAGCTCCCTTCTTTTTGCGTCGGAAAAGGAAGATTAAAAACAACAAGAGAATTATCTTTATACTAATTATAATTACAGAGTATAAAAACTAAGAACGAAACAAACTGTGCAAAGGAATGTAACAATGCAAAACATTTATAGTTTTTATCTACATGATATACATATGTGTACAATTAATTAAAAAAAATGTGATTATATAATTTATATGGGTAACGCTAGTAGCGGGCAATGCTAGTATATTAAATATAAACAATATTTAATATACTAGCATTGCCCGCGGCTCCGCCTGCGTTCAGATGACCAAATACCATATTCTTAGATTTTACATATTATTAGTATACTCTTACAATGCAGTTTTTGTATTTTTCTCAGAAATGAGATATTTTCTTGCGGTAAAAAGTATCCTATATGTTGACCCGGATAACCAGCTATCACCATACAAAATTTCATAAAAATCCCCCCAGTGGCTTTTCTGTGATGCGGTAACAGACAGACAAAAAATCTAAAAACTATAGATTCGGTCTCTGTATCGATATTAATGTTTGTTTCAATAAGATTTTCCAAAAAATATTTAATGTACAGACTCGGCTTAGTTACAAATTTATTATATGTATAGATAACTTAATATTAAATTATTTTGACCGAGTTTTATAAAATATAATAAAATAATAAAAACTATATCTTATCTTGTAGTCATTTATATTTTATGTGCGAAAATATTTGAATAATTAACAAAGTATTCGCCATATTTTTTATCGTCCTTGAACTTGAATGCATCAGGCTTCGTATCGAGTTAGCATTCATTACGAACCACATTCTACGCAGTACCCACCATAGCATTGATTAACAAAGAAAAATAAACCGTATTATCTATTAATAAAGCCCATTTTGTAGTTAACTTTATCGATTCTTTATATTGGCAGACCGGCTTCCGAAATAAAACCAATAGAATATATATTGTATATATTGTAGCAACAAGTCTGGCGAAAATATTTACATTACTTAATCAAGATTATCGTGTTTACTTGACAGTGTATTAGCACTTTATTATATGTACATATCGCACTACTAATATAAATGGGAATGTTTGTCCGTTTGATACTAAGTACTCTGTTAGTAATAAAATTTACATCCAAACGACCGGACGCAACCGAGCGAAGTGGGGTTAAATCACTAGTTTATCACATACTTACCAACTATGAAATAATTTATTAATGGTTGCTAACAATTTAATGCGCACAAAGCAAAACAAGCAGGAACATATTGATAAATCTACGCAGTTATTTTATGCTAGCTAAGATAAGTGGGCATAAATAAGGCATATGAAACTCTATAAAAAATGTTTATTAAGATACAATAACTGGTAATATTTACTTAGCCGCAGGTCGTGGGTTTCATTAAAGACTCGCCAAAATTTAAACGCAAACAGACGAATAATTTAAAACGCTGATGTTGCAAATATTAAAAAAAAACTTTAATATTTGTTATATAATAACTTTTTAAGCAGTATGATATATAATGATAATATACGTATTACGTACCCCATTTTGTATCGTGAGATCCAGAAACAATCATAACAATCACGAATATGTATATAGTTCGTAGATCATCATGAGCGAGAATCTAACTTAGGTACACCAAAGGGTGTAAAAGTATATTATGTAACCACTGCACCAAAGCGACTTAAACGCGAGAAAACAAGAAATGCGCATGATAATGTTCTCTTGACCGATTCCGGCCACGGCGGCCAATCTCATTGAGACTAGCCAACTGCGCAGGAGATATTATAGTGCACAAGTGTACGCGCAGACACAAGTGCACTCCCTATTCCTGTCACTCTCAAACTCCGGTGAGACGACTGCTCGACACGACCGGTGAGAGTTAAGGCGCAGGACCGACGACTTTACGTGCTCTCCGAGGCACGGGAGTGAAACACCGCCAACTTCCCAACTTCGGGCTGTTACAGAAACTTACTATACAGAAAGACTCAATAACTAAACTTGGCCCGACCCGGGACTCGAACCCAGGACTTCCGTGTGTGCAGCCGTACAAGCTAGCCACTACACCACCGATGCAGTTAAATTGCACCGAAGCAGAAATGCGCATAGATATTATATAACTATTTCTAATAGTAAGATTTCCAGTTCTCTGTACTAACCTATTTGAGACACCGAGTGAAGATATTATTTAATTTCCTGCGCACATTAGCGTCCTTAGTATTCTATTTATATATAGCTCATGTTATCCTTGTACAATGTAGGTGCATAACAACCTTTAAAGCTTAAAGATTAAATTACTTAAAGAATTGCAATAATAAAGGAATTGGATCATTTTTGCGTGATGCAAAATAACAACACGGCAAAGTGATTATCGATGTAAAATCAGTAATAATTTTGCTCTAGATAAAATAATAATCTTAAAAAAACCAATAATAATAAAACCTGTTTATAATGTTCTTTACGTTACAATTTCAACGACTTCACATTGATGTTAATATATCTCTCATTTTGTATTCTAAAATCAAAAATAGTCTATACTTATATAAAAACTAGCGAATCACCCTCGCTCCGCTTAGGTTCGTTCCTAGGTACATTTTAATGGTTAGGTATAGATTTCTCAAAGATGACATATTTTCCTGCAGTAAAAATTATCCTATATGTTGCCCTGGATTAAACTAGCTATTATCATACCAAATTTCATCAAAATCTGTTCAGTTTCCTTGTGATGCATTCCCAAACAGACGGACAGACAAAAATTCTAAAAACTACAGATTCAGCCTCTGTATTGATAATAATGACTATTTCAAAAAAGTTTTCCAAAAAATAGTTAATGTTAAAAATTTTATTATAATAATAATTTATCTACTACCTATAGACTTAAATACCTATCAAAACACGTATAAAATGATGACTTAGAGTATACATAAGCTATATGTACACTCTAAGTATGATGACCTTTCAGTAGTTTATTGGCTTTTAATCGTTTTTAAAAATAGTTCCACATAAAAAATTATATTATCCATCATAACTGTTAATTAAATTATAATTTTAAATAAGCAATTTTATGATCTATGCACAAAAAAGCAAACTCTTGGAGATACGTAGACATTTTTAGGGTTCCGTATCCGAAGGGTGCCATACAAACCTATTACTAAGCCTCCGCTGTCCGTCCGTCTGTCCGTCTGTGTGTCAGAGGGCTGTATCTCATGAACCGTAATAGACAGATAGTTGAAATTTTCACAGAGTATGTATTTCTATTGCCGTTACAACAAATCATTTATTTAACTTTCGTAATCGATTATCGAAGTTGATATACTACATACATAAAAGTCATATTAATAAAAAGTACATACATGTACGGAACCCTTTTTTTTTTTTACTTCCGCCACCACCCCCCCCCCCCCTGCCGCCATGTGGGATCGTTTTAGCATACAACCGCGACGCCCCGACGGTTGGCCGAAGCCACCAACCATGAGGCCGCCCCAAGCGGGACAACCCCATTATGGGAAGACTATCAACCCTCTACGTGAGGCTGCTCCCAAGTCCACTCTGCTGGTCAGAGAAGTATCCGGAGCAGCCCCCACACGAACACAAACAACCCGCCCACCGAAGTGGGGCACCTGCAAAAAATAAAGCGGCCTAAGCCTAAACATCCATCCCCCACCCTATTGGGCAAAACCTCCAAAACGCCCGCGAACGGGGGGGAGCCCACCACAAACGGCTGCAGGAGAAGAGGGAATGTGACAACGCTGACACTCCCCTTCTCGGCTGTGCAGCTGGCACCCCCCACCGCGTCCACACATACAACTGTGGTGGCCACGCTCCCGCTAAGGGGGGAAGGCCGCGGAGTATAGGGACGAGCGGCGCAATCGCCATACATACCAGACCAGGCGGGGTGGCGCTGCTTACACACAAACAGACGTGTGTGCTGTCGTCCTTCCCCTACCGTCGGCCCCCCTACCGTCGGCCCACCTCCGGAACTCCAAAATTTGGTGCTGCCGACATCACCTCGCCAGACGCAGGACACCGAACTGGTCCCGCTCCTCACTGTGCCGCCGCCACCGACGGGTGTGTGTGGGGGAAGCCCCCGGCCATTGTGTGGCCCTCGCGCAGCGCCTCCTACCGCGACACGGCCGGAGACACCGCGATCTAACCCTCCAAGAAGGGGACGGCGCCCTCTAACGCCGCTCCCTCAACCCCCCCTCCTGGCTGTTGGTCCGCGCCGGATTGCTCCGGTACCACAAGCTCCTGTCGGGTCAAAACAGGCGCGAGTGGTGTTCCCCTATCCGCCACCCGGGAACGCGTCCGGTAGCAGTCAGCCTCTGCCCCGGAACATGTACGGAACCCTGCGTATGCGAATTCGACTCACACTTGACCGTATTTTTTCTTTGTTTTGGGCCACCTTAAAAAGATTACGTTTTTTGTGTGTATGATATACGACGTCTTCGCCATTTATTAAGCGATTCTCATATTTTTTATGAATGAATTATATCAATCAACAATGAGTTATACAAACGTTTACTCGATTTCACAACAAGGTTTTTGAAGTTTGTGAACGTTTTTTGTTAAAAATATTATTATTTATTTATTTCTAGGCTTAGTCGTCCATCCAGACGGCATCTATCTACATCGTCAGTAGGAAGAACGTCCACATCACCCCAGCGACGCAATGTTGCTGCACCAGCTCTGTCAAATAACTATAAGCGATTCGGAGACATACCGGGGCCGTTAGCATTGCCAATGTTGAGGCACCACGCCCATGTTCTACCTAGAATTGGTAAGAAAGAAAAATATTTTATTTTATAAATCACTAGCAGTACCCGCGGTTCCGCCTGCGTTCACACTTCTTGACAAACTTTACAGGATGCCTTAAAATTTCATCAAAATCGCTCCAGCCATTTTGTTTAAATAGACTGTTAGCTTAAGCACGCTTAACTCAGAAATATCGTACCGAAAGAATATTTTTGCTAATTATTTATGGGCCCTTAAACCGAGCTAATCGCCCTTTCTATTGGTTAATTTATAATATCTATTGATTTAAGCTCGTCACACAGTATAAAGCCTCTCTTGTTCAGCCTAATACTGCCGAGGTAATGGTTTGATTTAGGCATAGGTCACAGTCACAGAAAACTATGATTTTGGATAATAAACTATATTATTTATTTCTATTAACCCCTCCAGGTAAATTTCTAAGAAATTAATTAAATTACGCCGGCGTGACACAACAGACAGACAAAAATTCTAAAAACTTTTTATTCGGCCTACGTATCGATAATAATGTTTATTTCAATAAGATTTTTCAAAAAATAGTTCATGTACAGATTCGACTTAGTTACAATTTTATATATAGATTTTAAAATGCAGAAACAGTGTTTTTAAATAAATCAAACTATCCATAATAAAGGATCAAATTACTGCTCAATATCAATTGTGAACCGGTACATTGACATACGAGTACTATCTAGAATGCATGTCCTTATCTCTGTTATTATAATTCCTAGCGGCTAATAAAGATCGCATGACAAAGTACGATGCATAATAATGAGATGCGCTGATGCTTTATATGGAGTGAATTTTATAGAGATTACCTCACGGTAAGCTCCTGCTAACGATAACAGAATTAAATTTAATTAAGTTAGGTAATTAAAAGATTTTTACTTTTGAATATAACAATATGTCATAAAATAGCAATATGTAATTTTTAGGCAATGAAAAATTAGACATTTTTAATTTATATTAAAAACAAGGCCCGTGCTATATGCTATTTATTCAATCATAAATATACTATATATGTTATATTATTAGGATCTGTGAATTTAAGCAAAAACAAACAACTTGATAGCTTATTTATAATTCACACAAACAAAATTTTCTACCAAATCTTAACGTATTGTGACGCGGTCGTGGCCAACAACCTTATCTTTTTGTTACACAAAACTTTTTATTTTAAATAAAATATGTATATAAAAGGTAAAACCCTCTTAGTTGTCTGCATTAAAAATATAACAAAAAATCTAATTTAATACCATAATATAGCGAACTCTACTTAAATTCGAGTCGTACTTCATGCATATTAACATCTATACTAATATTATAGGAGAAAATTTGTTTGTTTGTTTAAACGCGCTAATCTTAGGAACTACTAATCCGATTTGTAAAATTCTTTTCGCATTATAAAGCCCGTTTATTGAGGAAGGCTATATATTATCATTATGCTAGTTAATAAAATATATTTTAATAAGCAATTAAAATTTTGCATTTATTACTTTAGTTTAGAACACTCTCTCCTAATCCAAAAATAATAACAATCGTAAATAAAGAGAAAGTTGCCAACGAGATCGTAAGAACCGGTCTCACAATACAGGCTTCCCACATCTAGCTTTTTGCTCTAGACTAGCAACGTCCTATCTAATGTCTAAGTGACTGATTGTTGTCTAAGTCTACGCTTTTAAAGTTTCGAATTTCATTTTGATTGCTTCATCTTAGTTTTAATGGATTTGTTTATAGAAGCACTAAAACGTATCGTTTTTCCCTTACTATAAAAGATCATTCCCTTAATGATCTCGTATAGTGGTTTGTAGTTGTTAGAGTACTTGAAATCAAAGTTAACGTCGTATGAAACTGTAAACTACATATTACTTTTAAATAAAACTGTGTTTTCTGATTTTTTCTAAAATTTATTTTGATTTTTGGTATCCAACGTTTCGAACATTTTAAAGAATAGAATCAGAATAAATCCACGAAATAATCTGAAAAGATAGTTTTATTTAAAATGTCACATAAAGCATTAGGTACATATTACATTTTTTTAATAATTGATCAATATTAAAGCTAAAAGTCAAATTTATAACAGATTATGTATAATTTTTGTGTTTTATTTTCAATCTGTGTCACCAATTAAAAAGAAATCATTTTAAATTATTCAACTGCCAGTTGTTTTAATTCAATAACCCTTTATTACCTAATCCTAGCATAAGGCTTTATATTGGCCAAGCAGATGTTGGTCTCAGTATTGAAAAGTATAATCGTATTATTGCAAACATTTCGATTTCATAGACCAATAATTAAGATTCTGCAGCAAGAAGAGGGAGGAATTGTAATAAATTATAATCTTTCGCGTCCATTCGGTTTTTTTACAAATATGTAACCTAATAAGGTAAATACTATGACAGAGTTTTACTACAGTCACTTCTAGTACGAGTATGACTGCATGTAGAGCTTTTGACAAACAATGGGTGTATTTCTGAAATACAAATATTAAATAAAGAAATATTTCGTGTGAAGTCACAGGCAAAAGCTTGTATTTAAACATACAAACAATATTAAATAAAACTATCTTTTCGGATTATTTCGCGGATTTATTTTGATTTTTGGTTCCCGACGTTTCGAATGCTTTACAGCATCCATGGTCACGGGAGAGACTGAGGTGTTACATGTCTTAAAGATATAGTTGTTACAGACAGCCTACCCACAATCAACAAAATGAAAATTGCACCAATTACATTACAATATTTTAACTTTAAACATTTTTATAATTTTAATTATAATTGAATATGGAAAATTATTTATTTAATTTTTGCTATTATTTTTATAATTATTACAATTTTAAAAATATTAATTAGTAATCTATATTTAGTGTTGCCATTATTATATTTATAACCATAAAGAAAAATATAAAATATAGTATTAATTATTTAAGCCATATAATTGTTCAATGTGTAATTTAAAAAGTTAAAATTAATTAAGGATTATAATTTTAATTTAGTTTGCTATTATTTAAAAACAACTTACTAAGCAACACTATTAATATATACTTTTACAAATGAAAAATGAAAAATATCAATCTGATAAGCTGTCATTTTGATCTACACAGTATGAACTTACTACATCTGCCTGTCTGTTATGTTTATATTTATTATTTGATTTTATTATATTAATAACAGGATCCCATGACGATGGTAGTACCCAGCCATCTTCCCTATTGAAATTTGGATGTTTTTTAATTTCTATGGCTTCTCGAATCATTCTAGGGCGATATCGGTTTTCTTTCGCCAAGATTTGAGGTCTATCGAAACGAATATAATGGCTTGGGCGGTCCTGGCTATGTTTACAGACAGCAGATGTTGTATTGCGACGGTGCTTCACATCAGCTATGTGTTCTTTGACCCGGGTTCTAATGGATCGCTTTGTTTGTCCAATGTAAGAGAGCCCACAATCACAATCAAGCTTGTAAACTCCTGCATCTTGTAGAGGGATGTGGCACTTGACAGGTGGTAAGAACTGACTAATTTTCTTTGGCGGCTTGAAGTAAGTTTTAATTGAAGCTCGCTTTAGAATGTAGCCAATCTTGTCAGTGACTCCTTTCATGTATGGCAAGACTGCAGGGACGCGCTCGACTGTGGCTGGTTTTACTCGGTCACTGTGACGCAGGCGCGGCACTTGCAGCTTGTTGTCACGCAGAACTTGCTTGACATGTTGCAGTTCTCCGGCCAGGTGTTGCTCGTCACAGATCCCGCGCGCTCTCTGAAACAAAGATTTTCCCACGGTAGCTAACTGTGAAGGATGGTGGTGAGATTCACCGTTCAGGTACCTATCAGTATGGGTCTTCTTTCTATACACAGTATGACTCAAGGTGTTATCTGTGTTACGTTTAACTAATACATCTAGGAAAGCTAAGGTATTGTCTGATTCTAATTCCATTGTAAATTGTATTTTAGGATTTATAGAATTAAGGTGTTCTAAGAATACAGTTATTTTATCAGATGGTAATATTGTGAAAGTGTCATCTACATACCGCTTGTAGAAACGAGGGGTCACGGGTGATGTGTTCAGAGCAGTCTCCTCGAAGTCCTCCATGAAGATGTCGGCTACAACGGGGGAGACTGGCGAACCCATGGCCACTCCATCCACTTGCCTATAGAATTCACCATTCCACAGTAGATAGCCAGATGTTAGGCAGTGTTTTAAAAGTTCAATGTATTCTATTGACATGTTGTGATCTAGTAGCTTCCTAGATATTATTTCAATACAGTCTTCCACTGGTAGGCTGGTAAATAAAGACTGTACATCGAAACTAACCATTGTTTCATTGTCCATGAGTTTTAGGTGTTTAACTTCACTACTACTACTAGATCACAACATGTCAATAGAATACATTGAACTTTTAAAACACTGCCTAACATCTGGCTATCTACTGTGGAATGGTGAATTCTATAGGCAAGTGGATGGAGTGGCCATGGGTTCGCCAGTCTCCCCCGTTGTAGCCGACATCTTCATGGAGGACTTCGAGGAGACTGCTCTGAACACATCACCCGTGACCCCTCGTTTCTACAAGCGGTATGTAGATGACACTTTCACAATATTACCATCTGATAAAATAACTGTATTCTTAGAACACCTTAATTCTATAAATCCTAAAATACAATTTACAATGGAATTAGAATCAGACAATACCTTAGCTTTCCTAGATGTATTAGTTAAACGTAACACAGATAACACCTTGAGTCATACTGTGTATAGAAAGAAGACCCATACTGATAGGTACCTGAACGGTGAATCTCACCACCATCCTTCACAGTTAGCTACCGTGGGAAAATCTTTGTTTCAGAGAGCGCGCGGGATCTGTGACGAGCAACACCTGGCCGGAGAACTGCAACATGTCAAGCAAGTTCTGCGTGACAACAAGCTGCAAGTGCCGCGCCTGCGTCACAGTGACCGAGTAAAACCAGCCACAGTCGAGCGCGTCCCTGCAGTCTTGCCATACATGAAAGGAGTCAC